ACGAACGAGGAATTATTCTTATTTTTAATTTTTTTTTTTTTTTTTTTTTTTTTTTAAGAGAAACAAAGATTCGTACTGTTTGTTACTAAGGTTTAAGACTAGACGACGAGTTAATTTTAACGAAGAAAGCACGATACATCGATAGGTATCGAGATCACATAGGCAAGAAGATGTACTTTTAAATAAACCGATCCGCTTGAATTGTGCAAGAGACACGAGCGAGCGCAAAACCGTATCTCGTTCACTGACATTTCGATCGCCGCGAGTGCTATTTTTAAATCCACCGCCTCCGCGTTCCCGATTGTCCACTCGTCAGACTTGCAAATATTCATTTACTTGTTTCTCGTCGATTAACGAATAAAATGCCAACCGATCGAGCAAAGAATTACAGTTACATGTAACAACGAGAAAGAAATAAAACTGCGTCACGTCGTGATAATTGAAAGGTAAACGAGGTCGGTAGTAAGATCGAGAGACACGGGAAATCGCGTAAGTTGTACGTAGCTTAGCTTCGGACGAGTTGACGTTAAAAAGAAAAGAATCTCGAGTGGTTCCTCGTTCGTTGACGCTTCGTTCACTCTGAGAATCGTGTAACGTAACGTTCGCAGATTTTACGTACAATTCGTGTTCGATCGCCGACTGAAAATAAGTAAACGTGATATTTTCCATTCGATCCAATACGCAATCGAGATCGATAACAATTTGTTTGTCGCATATCTTTGTTTTCCATTCGAAGCGAATATCTGCGATTTTATTATTCCTAAGAATATTCCGCAAACTCTTGCAAATTTATTTTAAAACGCCAACTCCATTTCTTCGAATCGCTTTAATTTTTTTCTTCTTCTTCTTTCTTTTTTTTTTCTTTTTTTTTTACAAATTTTACGCTTTTCTGTAATTTTGTAATCGCCACCGTAAGTCGATCGAGCATACTTTTCTTAACGCGACGTCGTTTCAACTTTTCGCTTGAACGTCGTTTCATTCAATTAACGGGACGAAATTTGTGCATCAAGGGAAAAGGATAGGAAAGGTGCAGCACGAGAAAAGTGAAAACGGAAGCTTGATCGAGTTGGAGGCGTGAAACGAAGGGACATCGACTTTAGTTCGCAATCGAGACAGCATCGCAGGACTTTGTACCTGCTGTCGTTAGTGATTACGAGAATTATTTCGCGAGTGCGCTACAAAATGCGTCGCCGCAAAGTCGGCATCGGGACGCTTGCGTCTCTTCTCCGATGCAACGAGCATATCGAGCATGGCCGTAGGTCGAAGGGCAGCTAACTAATCATTTCAAACGTTCGCGTGGTCGACTCAATTAAGTTCGTCCAAGGAGCACGCATCGTGGTTCGTATATGAACTTTTTCTTTTCAAATAAAGAGACGCGACGTTCTTCTCTTGGAAAAATCGATCTTTCGATAGCTACAAAATCATTGTGCTACCTTTAGAAGCGCATTCGATCAGTCGTGGTTCCGTTGAATCGATGCACGCGAATTCATTTGCATGTCATCGCTGGAGATCGCAATTTTTCTTCTTTTTTAATCCGGTGAAACAGATATTGCCGCTTCCTTTCGATCATTTTTCACTGTAACGTACTTTTCTATTGTTTCTACGAGAGCTTGTTAAATTCGTCGTAGAATAAGGCAAATTTATATTATAAAGAATTTATATTATATTTGATATTTCATTTTTTTTTTTCTTAAAGAGGGAAGAATTAGCGGATGACGTAAGATAAGGTAAATTTGTATCGTGAAATAAGAAAATTAAAAAATTTAATTTTTTTCCGGTTTTTTTTTTTTTTGTTTTTGGAAGAGGATCGGTGATAGACGCATGTTATAGCGCGAGTTTCAGTTATCTTTGTATCATTTCAGTTATATTGAAGCAGAACACGCTGGTGTGCCAGTTCGCGTCTCCATTGGATGTTGATACTCATAATAAACCCGAGGTACGTTTAGTTATCACTTAAACGATAAGAGTTCGATGCTTGTCGAGCATTTTTCTTACGGCGATCTTGCACAGAGTGTCTCAAAGTGGAATCGAACAATTTTTGTTTATTGTCTCGACTACTTGAAAGAACAAAAGAACCGTCGTTATCTTCTTTGAAGCTGGACGTTGAAGACGATGGCCTTATATAAAAACGAGCGTGTCCTGCAAACCAAACAGCAGCTCTCTGTTTAAAAGTAGAGACTGTCAAACAATCCACTTAAAATAGATCGCAATTGAGTGTAGGAATCAGCGGTATATTCGAAAAGTGCTTTGTAAATGCAGGGTAATGGATCGTTTAAACGACGTCTGTTAAACTTCCTGGTTACAGAGAATTATTTTTGTAATTGCGTTAAAAATAACTGGACGACGTTGAAAGATCGATAGAGAAAGAGAGAGAGAGAGAGAGAGAGAGAGAGAGAGAGAGAGTCACCAACGTTAGAGCGCACACTGTAAAAACGCCAATTGCTTTCTTATGTTCTTTAATTTATGCGAAATTAATTTTGAGACACCCTGTATTTTGTAATGAAAGAACACGATCGATAGCCGTTGTAAAGTTTTGCAACTCGATAACGACGTACATAAATTTAAAAGATGTGTTTCTTATCAGGCGGTTGTCTTAGAGGGCAAATACTGGAAGCGAAAACTTGCTGCTGTTACTGCGGAGTACAAGAAATGGCGTATGTTCTATCGGAACAAAATCCTTGGCTGGACGAACAAGGATGGCACCGAGATGGTATTCCTCGATCCACGAGACACAAATTTTCTACGATTAAATTTGCATGAAACTGAGAATTAAATATAGGCGTATTGCTATTGCATTTGCCTCGATTAATTTTTCAAATTTCAAGCAAATGTATTTTTCAATTAGGTCGAGTTTCAAAACGTAGTTCTGTTTCCCTTAGTTTCCTTATCGTGAAATATACTTTAGCTTGCAACGATCAAAACGTTAAATACATTTGAATTTGACAAAATTTCTAAGAACCACTGGTATTTCTTATTCATAGTAGAAAATGACGGTATCGTTTCAGATGGAATCGATGGACGTGTTAGATTGGGGCAATGGATTGGGGATCTCGGGCAACTATGGAGCAGGTACAGGCAGCACACACGGTGGGACCAGTGGGACTCCAGGAGGAGAGAGTATGATGGTTGATGAAGATTACATGGAGCTCATGACTGATACGTTATTTTCGACAATCAGTTCAAATCAACCAATATACTTTCCCGATCCGAGAGAAATTGGTAATTCGCTGAAAAATAAAATTATATAAAATGAAAATTAGTGCAAGACCGATAAGGATAGCGGAGATGATAAGAGAATAATACTTGTGTCGATAATTAGAGCGTTGTAATAGGAAGAAGGAACGACAAAAGTCGAAAGAAACAACGCGAACAGTCTAATTGATGTAGATGTATCGAAACAGATGACACGATAAACTTTATTTTATACGGTTGCTTGTAATTGTAGCGCGTGGAGCTAGTCTGGCGGATTTTATACAACCCAGCTTGGGACCGCTCCAGCCAAATTTAGATGATTTTATGGACACTCTTGAACCGTTGCAAGGTATTCGATCAACATGAAATTCACTATATTGTAGGTATGGAAGATAATGAATCAATAATATTCATAAATCGTAATCTTTTAGAATTTTTAAATTCAAAGTTGCCCCCTGTCCCGGAAGAGGACGACATGTTTCGAAATAGTACCTTGAACACGAACTATCCTGATCTCGACTTAATGACGCCTATGAATCAGATAAACGAGCTGAGCCAAGAATCAGCAGCGAAGAACGAGCAAGCTTCACAGCAGCCAGCGTTAGCACAGAACGAACAAGGAGGTACTATACAGAATCTGCAATACACTGCAAAAATATATACTCAACCTCAGCCAGAGCCAACGAATGCGTTCAGGAATAATATGTGAGCATCGATCGTTCATTACTTAGAATGTTTTACAATGAAATTCTATTTTAACTTTTACATGCACGTTATAGAACTCTGAGTGAGAATTATAGTACCATACAACAAAGTTATGAACCCGCTGCAACCAGTCAACCTGTCAGGGAAAAAAGTCGACCAAGTAGAGTTTCTTCGAGGAATAGTCGAGTGATCCAGCAACCTCAACAACAACGGACGTCAACGTATCAACGAACAGCGCAACAACAAAATTCAGCGTACCAACAACAACAAGCTTCGCAGCAACAACCTTACGCCATGGAAATCCAATCCGTTCAACTAACACCGGTTCAAAATCAAGTGCAGATGCCAGCGTTGAACGACCAGTCTGCTCATGCGAATCAAATCCCGCCTATCGCTGCTCATGTTCAAAATCTGGTGACGGTACAGCAAACATTTGGACAAACGAATTCTACAGTGTCGACGCAACACAGAAGCATCAGGCCTCTACCACCGGTCGCGCCGATCTCATCAAAACCGTACAAAGTCGTTCAACCGCAACAGTGTTATAAGTTTCCCACACTTCCGCAAAACTTTAATGCGCAGCAATGCAAATTCAACACTAATAATTTCAAGGTATTTATTTCACAGATACGACGTGATATGTCTTGTTTCATTGAAACGTGGTGTTCGATTTGAATAATGCATTAACGAGGCGGGAGACTGTGATTAGCAATAGAAACAGATTATCGTGATATTTTTCAGACACACCCACCACAACAAGTCGTATCGGTTTCCACGGAGCAACCGTCGCAATCACCGATACTGTTACAGTGCAGACCCTCCGGTTTGGATCTCACCACGCCGACCGTACAACCTACGAAATTGTTACCGCAACCTGCCGCGTCCAATTCGGAGAAAGAGGAAGTTTTTGCCGTACCCAAGGTTCATACACAAGCTACAATAATACCATATGAAATATAAATCAATTTTTTCTATTCCCTTCTATGATACACGAAGCATAGGAAGTTGAAGAAATTTATAATGAAATCACGAAAATGTTTTCTGTTTCAGTATCAGATGAAAGCAAGGAATAGGTCTCGAAGTAGTTCGTCCTTAACCGCATCAAGAATCCATCCGCCACCATTAGTATCAGCGGCGAGCGATCCCGCTCTAAATCTAAATAACAATGTTTTGCTCGCACAGTTACTCACGAATAGTATGTATTTTAAGAAACGTAATCTTTGTACGGCTTTTCTCTATATTTTATAAATCATTTAATGGCGACATGACGCACAAATTATCGAGAAATCGATCACACGGTATTATATATTTTGTCGATAAAGAATATTATGAGAGCTTCAATATCGTTACATAGACACATCTGGTGTACACACAATGAATATGACGGCTGATAATGTAATGCCGACAGTGACCCAAACAACTACTACTATGAAACACATCTTACCTATGTTTCCACCTTCAGCTTCGCCTACGCAGGTAACAACTACCCACCATATTACCACGCCGGTCACTGTCCAAACTATGCAAACATCTACGATCCAAGCGCAACCGCAACAACAGGTATATTTTTTATTGCATCTTATTTCGAAATCAAAAGTTATTTAAATCAGTGTCATTCAAGAAGAGGGTACTCTCTAATATTCATAAAATTGACCCAACGTTTTTACGCTATAATAGCATACGTAGTAGATGAAACTCTTTAGTTTGAACCACGAGGACTTAAATAATAAGTCACATAAAGATATTATATTACGTAACATTAATACCAACGATAATAAATCTTCAGCTTGTATAATATTATATGACGTGTTCAACTGTATGTTGCATATTAGGCAATGCAACAGACTACTTGCAGCCAACAAATGCTATTAAATACAAACACCCAAGCGCATCAGTCACAAAATAGTCCCGGGTCACCAAAGGATAGTTCTAACGCACACAGTCCTCAAGGGTTAAACCTCAGTCCTTTGCACAGTCCGATGAGTATAGGAAGCCCATTGTCACCGAGTAGAGGTTACGTAAAAGGTGAATCAGAACGGGGACAATACAAAGAACAAAGACGAGTCGGGCACATTCATGCGGAACAAAAACGTAGATATAATATTAAAAATGGATTTGACATGCTGCACAGTTTGATACCGCAGCTTAATCAAAATCCGAACACGAAGATGAGCAAAGCCGCTATGCTGCAAAAAGGAGCAGATTATATCAGGCAGTTAAGGGCGGAGAGGAATCAGTTGAAGGAGGAGATGGATACTTTAAGACATCAAATCGAGTGCCTTAATACGTCTATTAGGTAATAAGGAAATTAAAAAAGACAACAGTTAACATTATTTCTTTTAAATTCTTATATAAAACTTATATATTGAACACTTTGTTACAGTAATTGTCAATCCATGCTTCCTGCAACGGGTGCTCCAATTTCTAGACACAGAACTAGTAAAATGAAGGAGATGTTCGACGAGTATGTACGCACGCGTACACGGGAGAATTGGAAATTTTGGATCGTATCCTTCTTAAAACACTTTTTATGTTTTTTTTTTTCTCTGTTCTCGTTCGTGAATATATGTTATACATTTCCTTAGAAAATGATTAGTTCAGTGTATTGCTTGAGCCTCTAATGATTTCTTTCAATACCTCGGTATCCACCGCGAGTATCGAAGATCTATACAGAAGTACAATATTGTGGGTCGAGCAACATTGCTCACTCGTTGATCTCAGACCAGGTTTGTATCTTTTACGAGAAAACATTAGTAGTGGTATAATAAAGTATTAATATTAATAAGTTACATTTATAAATGCACAGAATTATTAGTCATTAATCATTTTTAATTATTAATCATTCCTTGTCTTCGACTGTAGCCGTTCTGAACTCCCTAAGATATCTGTGTACTGCCACTGATATTCTATCAGATCCTGGTCGTCTGCCCGAAGAAGCACTCGCAGCAGTTAATCGCACGGAACGGCGACGATCAACTCAGTGACCAATTATAATATGCGAATAAGTCGCGAAACGTGATTTGCTTAGACCTTCGAAAGAACGTGCGAAAGAAAAGCAGTTACCGTAGCAGTAAGCCAATTTAGGAGAGAAACTTACGTGAAAATTCTTAAGACGATTCTTTTTTACAGTAGTAGACCTTCAGATTTCCTTTTGCAACGATTGCGGTTGAGAATGGAAAGAACTTAAAGTGCAATTTTTCCCTATCCTTCTCAAAATTGTGACCACGAAATTTAATAATTAACTGTTAAAAGAGTATACGAAGATGTACATGAATTTACTCGCAAACATTTAACAAAATATATATTATGATATACAGACTGTTACAAATTTGGAACACGTTGAGATTTGAACATCCTTTTTTTTATAGCGGTTATCGCAATTGTTCATATGTTCGCATAAAATATTATAAAAAATGAGAAAGGACATTCGTATTTATTAGGTAATTATATTATATGCGTTACGTTTATGTTCACTCAGCATTAAGAAAAGAATTATATATAACTTTACATTTTCATAAATTGCGATAACAAATTTTTGCGATAAATTCCTTTCTTTTTTCTTCTCGATGCTTCATTAAATTCATTGTAATACTTGATCATACATACATGAAAAAAAAGGAAGGAAAAATGTGTAGAGCAAACCATTCCATTATATTTTTACTATGCTTGTTTTTATCTAAATACGTCGTTTATGACAGTGATAAAGAAAAGGAAATCATTATCTTTGGAAATTATTCTCTTTCTTTTTAGATATCGTTTCTTACTATTTTTAAGATAAATATATTCGTAAAACTATATTGCGGACTTAATTATATGTTACACTGTTGGTATATTTTTATAATAGTTGAAATATAAATAACTTTCGTCAAAAAATCGTTTACTTTTAGAAAGTCTTTTGTTAAGATCGACGAATAAAGAATCATTTATAATTAACGTCAAGTAATTAATTACATTTTTTTATGTTACTTGAAAATATATACTTGAGTATACCTAGATGAAATCGGTGCCATGAAATTATAACAAGAGACTGGAGTAAGAAACATAAATTGTTGAAAATATCTGATTAATCTTTTAGCGTGAAAACTGCAGTTTAAAACTAAATATTTCCAAGTTCGATCTTGTATTCTACGATGAATAATACAGCTGTTGATACTTGCATAGTAATACCTTTGAAAGGATAAAAAGTTTATATTGCAGATAATTAAACGCATTCGAAGTAAAAAAATGGGTTGCTCACAAATTACAAGATTATTATATACTATTAATGTTATTAAATATGAAGTTTTTAATACGAAATTTCATGTGATAATGTACAAATCATTTATAAAAGAATTGAACCATTAGAGCTTAAGCTATAAAAGACTTCTGCATATTGTAATATTGTTAGCTTTAATATCAATTGTATATAGCAAAATGTTGTAAGCGGTGAACAATCTTTAAGAACTTCTAAGGTTGTTTTAATGATTGTAGAAGTATAAATTTTACATTTTGCAAATACCTGTTCAATTAATTTTTACAATATGCAGTTGTTTTTTATTTAACTTTACATTGTGTATGTATAAGTGATAAATAATATAAAGAAATCAACAAAGGGGGATGTTTTTTGTACAATATGTATCATATAATCTTATAAAAATCCATGTATTGTTATTCTGATGATTACCTTAAAAGAAATTAAATTTTACTTTTTCTCTCTCCTATGAGCTTAACATTAAATATTATTAATTTTTTATTCATGTTTTTTTTATTTCTAACATTTTATTTAAAAAGAAGCATTTTATTATGTAAATTCTTTTCTGGATATTAGTCTGATATCCAGCATTAAGTTTCATTCAAATGTCCATCAAGTGTATTATGTATTAAGGGATTATTACTAAAAACTTAAGTTGGACATTGATTATATAAAAAAATATAGTTCTTTTCATTGATCGTATTATTCTTGAAATCTTTTAATAATTAAAGAGGGAATCAAAACTTATATTATTGATGCCCACGTGGAACATTCGTCACAAACTAGATACAAGGATATCTTATTGTTCTCAGACAGAGGAAAAAAGCTAGGTGTTTTTTTACATCGCGCAGAATGGTTATTCACACAGTTATTAATACGATATCCTACTTCCTTTACGCTGATACAATTATTCAATGCAAAATCACAAGATATACAAGTTACATTATTTTGTTTCTGTGTTAAATTAGATCTCTGACATATAGGACAAATAACTTCTTTGTCTTGTTCATCTGCAGTGAGAGCTAGAATTTCAATTTCTTCTTGTGTCATTTTTTCATATTCTTGTAATATCCACTGTTCTATAAATAACAGATAAACATTATAACTTGCTATATAGAGTAACAATTAAAGCTATTAATTTCACCTTCTTCACTGAGTATTTCATTTTCTAATTCTTCTTCTTGATTAAGCAATTCATTAAGAAATGATGTATTGTCAAAAAAAGCTGGATCAAGATCTCTAGTTACGAGATTATTAAATTCTTTACGTACGATTTCAGTCAACGTATCTTGTACATCTCTCGAATTACTTTCCAAACCAAATCTACGTTTATTAAATAATTGTCCACGTTTCTCTCTCATTCTTTCTCGACATCTCTAAAATTAAATTTTATTGCACTGATAAATTTTTGTTGGAATACGACACAATTGACAAAGCATTATATTGGATTACATATGAATTTTATTAATCTTAAATTTACAAAATTACAAATTCGAGAATATCAGATGGCTAACCTCTCGCAACACCTCTTGCAATTTCGGAGAACTGTGTCTAAGTTTATTAGCACTGTTCCTAATTTTTAATTTTATACTCATGGTTGGACTTCGATTCTCCATGTCTTTCTTATATAATTAGATACTATTTTATAGTGAAATTATACGAAAACAGACAATACAAAACAACACAGAGTAGATTGACGTTTACAAAATCGCTACTACTCTCAATGAAGCATGATAAAAAGTTCATTCGAGTGCTACGCATGCGCAGATGAAAATTCTATTTAAATATAAATTTGGATTGCAGAATTAATTATTATCAGGATAAAACAAAAAAGAGTTAAAATGTTTTCATAACTTCCAAAACGAGAGTTACTCGTTTCAACCAAAACAAAAAATTCTTCATAGCTTGGAAACTATTAATTTTTCGACCCATGTTTATTAGGATTTTTTTCATAATTTAGTAAGTACTATCTATCCTAAAAATCATAAACTCTTTTTTTCACCCTGTATATCCCTTACAATTAAATGTTTATAACATATTTATGTATACGTTTACATAATTATGTAAACGTTCAATTAATGCGAAAATTATATTACAGAGAAAATGAAGGTAGACAATTTTTAAACGACAATGATTGATAATTTATTGTAATATCCAATGACGAAAGTGGAATACAATTTTACCAGCCAGGCTTTCTATCCGAAATTGAAGTCATTTTCCATTGATATTAATTTAAAAAATCATGAGCCAACAGTATATGAAATAATTATTCCAATTAGAGTAAGGTCGCATAATATAAAACAATGACTCTCGATTAGTTATTACAATGTGTCATTTAAGTTATGCTAAAAAAAATATAATTCTTGTTACCAGTGACAATAATTCACCCATATAAGTAAAATATCATTTCGCAATCCTTATGCCTAAGAATATATATATATATATATTTATGTATATCTTAAACATTTATGCATCGTATACATACATATAAAGGGTATTTCGCGAGTAACTTTACAAGTTAGTCTGACACGACTTATATTCTGTTTCTGAAAATAAATAACATTCTCAACATTCGTAAAACAATCTCTAAAATTTTGTCCGTATTGAACTAATAATGCAAAAAACGATCGAGATCTACGAACCTAGAATAAATCTATCTTCATAACACCTTTCTGTTACAACTTCTAACAATTCGTCGACAATCCAGAAAGTTATATATTTCTGAAACACCCTATATATACATATACACAGTTATATGTACATACGTATATATACATATACACGATCACTCTGTTACAGATGTACACTTGTACACCTATACGGTATATCCATATACAGAACTATATTCATATCTCTTTACAATAATATAAACAGTCGATACTTCGGTTGAAATATTAATTGATTTTCTCCAGTTGCGATGAATAGAGCACTGAATAATATACGTGAATTTCTTATTAATGTCAGGAATAGATCAATGGCAGATCTTCGACCAATTACATACTAATATTACTGAGACAATCAAGGAACAATGATGGCACAACAAAGAGTCTCATTAATTATTCTTCTATTGATCTAATCTTGTCAGATATCAAACCATTCGTTTAAAGAAAATTTTAAAAAAGTAGGATTCATTATCTAATATGAGATTCAACGAATCGACTTGTATCACTTTCATTTTAAGTATCATTGCTTGTATCAATCCACTGATTTTTCCTCCAACGCAGATTAGCTATCGTATTAATTAATTGTAACAGTAGATCAAGCGACGTAATACTTGGACTAGTTATCGATTACAAAATTAAATATTTTTCGACTGAAACCGGACACGATAATTAATCATCTAATTACAAATATTTAAGCGCACAATCTTTGAGAACATATTCGGTAACTGACGTCTACGATCTTCGTCATCGAGCTATGTGATTCTCGTCGAAGAAACTATTATACTTTTATTATTATCTGGGGACGATACTTTCGTTGACGAAGCACGTAGCACTATTTGATAAATCAATATTTGCGTACAGCCTAAACATTTTTATCCATGAACATTTTACAGCGATGCTTATTTATATACACTTTGACGTATTTACATATATCGCTGTCTACAACGATATGGAACTATAGCAATTAAGAGGGAAGTGTCTTTGTACCAACGTTTATCGGAGGACATACTCTATTCGTACTCTCGATACTTTTCGATAGACAACATACAAAACGTGTTTGTGTTTTTTTTATTTTTTCATGTTTTTCATGTTTGCTTTTTTAATATATTCTGCAATCGATTGCAAAATATATTAAATGCATTTTCTTCCCTTCCGTTCTTACAAATCGATATGAATAGTTGAAAATAACATAGCACCGAAGGAACTTGGGCGCAACATTACGCGTGTATTACTATATCTGGCAACTCTTGGCAATGATTAGAGTTTCTATAATAACAGGGTAACCTTACAAGCTAATTTACTCCTAACGGTTAGAGATACGATCAATGTCAGTTTTCTTCCGATAACAACGAAGAAGATTCAAGTAACAATTTCAACCAATCTTGATCTGTCTTCTGCTTTTTTTTTTTCATTTTATACCTTACGAGTTACGATTAGAGCAATGATATTAATTTCAACTAGGTAAAACATGATTGTATATACATATAATTGGCGGATACATTTCTGAGACTCGATCGAAGACCAACGAATAAAATTCGCGAAACAGCTTAAAATAAAACGGTGGAAAGAAACGTTGAAAGAAGACAGCGCTTTTTTTTCTCTAGGAAACCGCTTTCCTCCGAAGTGAGGATCTACATTCTTTTAGGAACTAGACTCGATTCGTGTCTCTTCGAACTACGTTATCAAAAATTTTGATCGTGCTCGATCGTATTTTGCAGAAGATGTCGGTGCCAGTTTCGCATGGAAAGATTGCTAGAAAAAAATTCTAATAGTAAACCGGTAAAAAAAATCAATCGCATCGCGTTTGAAAATGGTAGATGATACAATAACGATTAAAAGGGACAAAAAGACAAAGTCCTCGTACCTTCAAACCATATTTTTTCTCGATTAGAAAGTTCCTCCTTCGTACAGGATGTGGAGAAGTCTATACAGTTTGTATCGCGCTTTATACAACATAGATTCATCGTATCGAGTAGCGTTTTCAAAATTTACAATAGGTATACAGAGAGGATATAAAAAGGCGGAGTAACAAAGTAGAATTATCTTCTTTAGATTGTTGAGCACGTGTCGGTCGAAATATACGAGGACTTCCTCTCCGAACTATCCTCGTACAGTTTGACAGTTAAATGTAGATATACACATGTAGACCTAATGCCGGGTTTCGAAGAACGACCGGCAGCGTGCGAATCGTCAGAGTTTCTCTGGTGCAGTAGATCTGGTTGACGCAGTCTGCGATGAAATTGAAGGCCCAACGCTCGTTGATCGTTCCAATGGATATATCCCTTTACCTGGAGTTGGTTGCGATACTGCACGCTTTGCCAACCTAAAAGA